CTCAAGAACCATTGGAATTTAGTGAAAATTTCCACATAGTGAGCAGCAACAGTTATAACGAAGTAAAATTTGAAAATACATAACAAATGTTAAGAAAGTGTGTATCACATTATAATGCCATTATGCTAACAGATGGTGAGCCCTCAATGGCTGTATTTTGCTTTGTTCAGGATATCCTATCTCTGAAGAAAATAACAGAAGTACAAGATATTCAGAAATGACAGGGTAAATATTTAAAGGAATAAATTTACTTCTGACAAACAAAAGAAAGATTCAGATTAATTTGTTCTGAGAGGAATCAATGACACACTTACAATTGAATATCATAATCCTTAATCTGAAAATTCATGCTGCCAAAACATTGCACACATTAAAAGGAAACTCAGTTAAAACTAGTAAAAGGACACCTTTTCAAATACAAAATATTAAAAACAACCTTTGCTTTAAGTTTTGTGTATGCACAGAAATGGATAAAGCTATGCAGCAAGACTCTAATGGCAATATGGAATAAGATGTGCAAAGGGTAGCTAATGGATCTCCAGCTAATTAAGGGACTTCACAATTACTGCAGATGTATCTGTGGTAGAATTTTCACTTTATTGGTTACATAACTGTGCTTCAGTTCAACACTGAATTTATTTTTTCTCTCATACAATATAATCTTTCAGACATTTTCATTTTTCATTCCTCAGGTATTCCCTGAAAAGCACCTTAACTAAAGCTTGGCACAGAAGCTACATTGGTAAACAGGAAAAAAATATCACCTTAGCAAAAATCTTTATCAGCAAAGATCCATATACAATATTATCTGAAAAATCTGAAATAAGCATGACATAAATTAATGGATTTGCTTGTAGATTTTTTTTATGCTTGATTGTCTGCTTTTCATAATTTTTGGGGTATAGTTCCTTGGAAATCTATATGAACAGAACATCAGAGACTCGGTTTAGGACATACTGAGAAAAATGAACTGAAAATGTTATAAGGAGAAATGTAAGTGCAAGTAGCATACAAGCACAAGAAAACAAGTTTTTAAAGTCAGTGTCTTTCACCTAAGGTTTAGCAGACTGGAAAGAAATTGTATGGCCCTGAGAAAGCCAAAGGAAAAGTCCCTACACAGTTGGGATGCTATGGAGAGACTAGATTATATTCTTTATACAGACATAGAAACAATTATGGGTATAAATTCTGACATAACATTTACAATGAAAGGTAATACAATTTGGCTATTGTTCAGCCTTCTAAGGGAAGAAGGGTGGAAGGCGTTCCTGCTCATGGCAGGGGGGTTGGAACTAGATGACCTTCAAGGTCCCTTCCAACCTAAACCATTCTATGATTCTATTATATGACTCTATGAATAAAAAATAAACGGGGAAGGAAGGAAGGAAGGAAGGAAGGAAGGAAGGGAAGGAGGGAGGGAAGGAGGGAGGGAGGGAAAGAAAGAAAGAAAGAAAGAAAGAAAGAAAGAAAGAAAGAAAGAAAGAAAGAAAGAAAGAAAGAAAGAAAGAAAGAAAGAAAGAAAGAAAGAAAGAAAGAAAGAAAGAAAGAAAGAAAGAAAGAAAGAAAGAAAGAAAGAAAGAAAGAAAGAAAGAAAGAAAGAAAGAAAGAAAGAAAGAAAGAAAGAAAGAAAGAAAGAAAGAAAGAAAGAAAGAAAGAAAGAAAGAGGGTAAGGGAGAAAGAAAATGGAAGAGGGTAAGGGAGAAAAAAGACATGAGAAATCCTGGCATAAAAGTGACAACTTTCTACATTTCACTAGAAACAGAGGTAATTCTAAGAAAGCAGTGTGTATGCTGAATATGAACACTGCATTTGGTTATTATTAGAATGAAGCATGAAAAGGAAGCATAAAGCTAACGAATGACAACATTCTTACAGCTCTTTAATCATCTTCATTCCATTACTGATTATCAGAAAAGTTTAATTTTATCTATTTCAATATTTTCCCTTTGTCTATAACACAGTTACAGGGAAATTCAAGCTGTCTTCTTGTACGCTAACTATGGCACTGAAAATTATAAAGAGCACTAGGCAGAGGAATTTGAACTCTGAATACATCAGAACAAGTCCAGAGGCACTACAACCCTATGAAAATAACCAAACTGCATATTCACAAACTTAAGATGATACCTGTGCTCTGTATCACAAGCTGGTAACATGCCCCTAATATATTGTTGAAAATCCTGACTACTCAGGGCTACCTAGAGGTTAGATTTGGCTTCTACAAAAAGCTACAAGTGAACTAGTATTCATACTTTAAGTGATTTTTAAAGAATCTATTACTCAGAGTAAAAAAGATTTTTTCACCATCCATGTTAAAGTTCAAAGCAAGTAATATAAAGATTCCTGTCTCTCTCTCTCTTTTTTTTTTTTTTTTTAATTCCTAGAATCTCACATGAAAGTTTCTTAAGTTTTTTCGAAAAAAGTGAGTTCTTCTTTGTCCATTAATTGTCTGTAATTTTCAAGAAAAATCCAAATTATTATTTTTCTTTACTGGACTCAGAGGATTGAAAGAATTCTGACATGAAATTCGGACCCATAAAGAAGACGGTTTAAACTGATGTGCTAACCCTTTGCTATGTCTGCCCAGGGTAAAAGAGAATGATAATTTAACTAGAGTTTTGGCCAGTTAAAAAATGTCCCATCTATGTCCATGTGATGTTTTCCTAATATACAGATGAATACACAGAAGAGCACAATCTTTTCCTCAGTTTGCAAAGGAAATAAAAATACATGGGGAGTAAGTCAGAGAGTAATGCAAATTGAGAATTTTCAAATGCTGACAGTATGGTTAGTAGTTTGGAACTTTAGTTGGCCATTATTATATGCATGGCATAATGATGAAATAGGTATAAAAACTAGTTTCAGTAATACAGACAGTATTGCTTGTTTTAGTCTGTGCTTGAAGATATTACAGAGAGACTAATTATTAACTCTTAAATATTCTCAGTCTACTGGAAATCTAGTGTAGAAATGCATTTCCAAGACTCTCTGCACCATGTCAAGTAGACCTATCTCACATTTGAAGAATGTGCCTTCTGTTGCTGATGTTGTTCTTTTGATTCAGTATGTGGCACCAGAAATACAGGAAAGACAGCAGAAGATCATCCTGTGATGACTTATTGAGAATCTGAAATCGTTGGTTCATAGACTAGGTATATTGCCATAGCTACCATATTATGGTTTATTTCCTGTCTGTAAATTAAAGCTTACAACACATTTAAGTCAGCTTTGCATTAATCTTTGTTAAAATCTATTATATTTAATTCTAAAATAAATTAATAAGCTATGAATCTTGACAAATCCTCAAGAAAAAAAAAATAGCAGATATGTAAAACCAAGATAGATAATTAATACATAAACCTATAAACATGTATTACCAAATTGAGGATTATTACATTTAATTGCATGGCAAATTTCAAGCAATCTAAGGGATCTAATAACCCGAATCACTCTCAATTTTAAGCACTGGAAACAAAAAAAATTGTGTAAAATACCATTAATCTATTAAATTCAGTCTTTTAGTGTTTAGGGAATTTTCACAAGATATTTATGATTCCACTGATTTTTTGAATTTCGAATTTAGTAAAGTTCAGGACTACTAGTAGTCCAACATCCCATAAAGTCCATTTGCAGACAATAAATGACATATGAACACCACTAGAAAAATTCTTTCTTACTGTCTTAACCTCCATGCTCCTTAGAGCCTTGAACGTCAGGAGTATGTGAAAAAGGAGCCAGTCACAAATAATACCAATTGTTCTGATACTCTGATGATTCCCATACTTTTTCTGAAGGCCACAAACACTATCTCCCTTCACATGACTAGAAGAATTGTGACCATCATGTGAATGGAAGCACTTTTATCACATGCCAATGAAGCCTTTTGGTCGCGTTACCTGTGTCTACACTGCTAAATGCATCCACCACTGGAAGAGATCCCCGGCTCTCAGGCTAAATGGTGAAGTACGGTGTCATGAAAACTAAATAGCAATTTTTTTTCATTTATGCTTCTGCGCAAATTCTTCTTTACTCATAATTTACCAATTCATTTTCAGCATGCTAACACTTCCATAAATTTATTACTAAAATTTAACCCATCTTCACAATTGTGCATGCATTCATTATTATTCTTATGATTAAAAATCCATCAACCCCAACACAAAAATAACTTATTCATGCATTACACTGACTCAGCTTCTAAACCATCTCTTCTCTAGATGTATACATAAATGTCACTTATGCCAAATTCAGAATTTTTGTTATACCAAGGTAAGCATAGAAATAGTTTGGACATGAAAATTATGATACAGTCACACTTAAGACTGGATAAGAGCAAGCACATAATCAATCAATAGTTACCATACAATCAGATTCTGAAGGAAACTTATGTTTTACTACCATATAATTTAGTACGAAAAAATAAAATACGTCCAATGCACACTGGTACAGATATTTTCATATATAAAACTTTCTATAGAGCATATACTCTTAAATAAATAAATAAAATACAGAAACTTACAAACTACCCTACTTTTTAGAGACTTTGTTGTTGTTTTAACAGTTCTCAAAAGAACTAAAACATAGACCTATTTTTATGAAATAACTCTGGTCTAAGTGCTCTAACTACATTTACACAATTCTGTAATACAGGTATCACTTGGAAACTTACATCGACAAAAAAGAATCAATTATTAGGCATCTGAACTGGTAAATGCTGATTTAAATTTATACCCATTTTTCCTGACGTATTAATCAAAATAAGAGTAAGCACTGTGCCCTCAGTTTGAAATCTTTTCAAGTATAGACTATGAAGTCCACTGGTAGTTCTAGTACTACATATATTAAGAAAAGATTAAATAAATTTGACAAAGGAGATATGGAGAATATGAGAGTACATTAAAAAGTAAGAGGTGTACTACCATGCTTTTCAGTGCTGGGAATCTGCAAATCCATGGACAATGACTACACATACAAGCAAATGAAAGCAGCTGACCACGTACCCACACACCTTGGCAGAGGTGCACTCCATACTCGACGGCCACCACCAAGACAAATAATCTCTGAAGCTCCTTCTAAACGATATCCAGATGAACAGGAGAATGTCAGAATATCTCCCACTCCAAAATTAAATCCTATTCTGTTACCAAATTTTGGGATCCCAGGATCTTCACAAGGTTCAAGGTTATACTCTGAAAACAAGAGAGCAAGTCAGCTTGTACGAGTGCGAACAACATGTTTTCTGTCAATTGTATTTGTAATCTTGCAGTTTAGTAATTTCTGTATATTTCCACCTGACTATCAATACAGATTTCAGAATTAAAAACAAAAGGAATGCAGGAATGTTCAATTGGCAATTATACTACATTAAAAAGTAAGACTAATGAATACTTTTACATTTTTAAGATGCATAACACAACATGCTTTATCACTCTTGTAAGAGCCATAAATGTCCCAGGTACATAAAACAAATGAAAACAATGGCAGAGCATAAAAGCCTAAATAATTGACACTTGAGCTCATCTGGAATTTCACTAACTGAAATTACACTAGTCCTGATTCCTCCCCTTGTTTGATAATGTGTCTTACAGTTTACTGCCATCTTATCATGTAGCAGAAATGTCTCTACAGAGACACAGAAGTTTGTTTGCTTTAAAATTGTTGTGTATAGGAAACAACTTGTATAATTTTATGATTCAGTACATGTATTCATAAAAATAACTTGAATTTTAAACTTTTTTTCCTCTCTTTACATAAAATACTGAACAAAAATATTTTTCAGTAGCCAAGTATTACAGGTATTTCCTTACCAGAAAAAGAAATATTAAATCCTTCATATGATATTGAAAAATCTGAAATAAAGCGCAACTGGGCCCTGAAATTTCCATAGAGACCAGCATTGATTGTTGAAGGAAGCTCTGAGCCAGTCAGACGTGCTAATGGCTGTGTGAAACTGCCATTCTCTGTTATTAGTAAGTAGTCATGATGATCCTCCAAATGAAAGGTGTAGAAGGTGAACTGCACTCCTATTAGAAAAAAGTAGAATTAGATCTACATATCACACTGTAAACATCAATGTAATTAAGCCAAGGATTACATTCATGCATTTCAATATGAATCATGATTCAGAAAATGAAGATAATCTGATTTTTCTAAAAATTAGTAACTTTCCTGATGAAGTATTAAAATATCTTTTCAGCAGGTCTTTTTTGTTTTGGAACTACCTTTCACTTTTGCCTTTAGCTGCAAAATATGGATGTTTGAATTATAGAATTCAAAGATATATGCTTCCATTTTTATGGAAAATCCAATGATGCACTATGTATATTCAAAATTACAAACTGTTTATGGCAGAAGGGGAAAGATAAACCTTATTTCTTAGTCACCAGTATCTTTGTACAACAGCAGTGAAAGGAAAGGTTATAAAATATATGACATTACATCCTAATGGCACATACAGTAACAGCAGCACATCCTCCTCAAAAAAGAGGGGTTTCTTAATAAGATTTGGCATATGCCAACAATACGTTTTTTTGCAAAACATCAGATATAAATTGCACATCTAGAAAGGAAGATATATCCTGGAACACAATAGCAATAAAAAGACTTAAAGGTCAAGACAGACAATTAAATTACTTTTTCCACATTTCTATAATTAGACCATGATCTTTGGGTAGAATGAACAGAAAAGTCAAGAAATAGAAACAGGAGAAGATATTAGATAGCTTAAGTGATTATTGAGACCTCTAGGGTAACAGGGTTTTCAGTTTTATCATATAAGTTATAAACCAATGACTCAGGCTTTGTAAAATACATCTAATGATGTAATGCTTACGAAGACCAATGCATGTGATTGAAGATTAATATAGTATATGAAAATTAATAATCTTTGGGTACTCTCATGGACAACAAATTTTTAACAGTAGATGTAATTTAATCAAAAAGCAAACAAATACTTCTGCTTCCCACTTCCACCCACCCAAGAACTTCCCAAATAGGGTAAAAAAATCCAAGTCTGAAAATAGATATACTGTGCTTGATTCAGTTGTCTAAACATAGGAAACTCATGGTCCTTTTGCTTTTGGAGGTCATCGTTCTGAAACTTCACATGCAGCTTTAGAAGTTCTTGATACAATTCCCTTGCAGGTTTTTTGGGTTTTTTTTAACAATACATTGGATCCCTGAGGTTGTCACAAATGCCATTAGACATTTATGTTAATGCAACTTAATCACACCTAGTAAGTACAGCTTGTAAGGGTATCTGGAATGTAAGAACAATTTGTTTATGAGGATACCTAGTCAAGGATCTTTCAGTACAGAAAGCAAAGACAAGAAATGAGGGAAGTAATAAATTATGTACACATATACAGAAGCTTTAATGAGCAGGATTTAGTGGAGACACTAACAAAGATCAGAACTCTTAAGTTTCTGACTGATGGACCATTGAATGTATCACTGTAATCATGCTGCAGTTCAACCAGAACTTAGTAACTGACTAGAATGAAGGAAAGATTGCCTTGGGTCTCATGGAAATGAGAAACTTACTGTGAAGTAGTTGAGAGAATTTGTGAGATTATGTAAAACTTAATATGAGGTTTTTTAAATGGTATTTGGAGACCGCAAAACATTTTTTGGGATGCCTAGGGCCAAAGGCAGGTAAGGGGAGGGAGCATGGTGGATAAGGGAGAAAAAAGGGTGGGGAAATGGGGTAGGTTAAGCCTCTCTCACTAATCCCTGCACCTAACCACCATATCCTGTTCTCTATTCTTTTTAAACTCTGTTTCTGACTATTTAGTGTGTAAGCATGTCCTCTGTCCAGAGTATGAGTACATGTGTGACCACTAGTGAATGTTAGTATGGACCATCTGGCAAGCAGGATGAGGTCAGGGGGCACCTGGATGGGCAGCACCTGGGGGCCAACTCCTGGGCCATTACCTTGAAGGCTGTAGAAGAACGTGCATGTGTGAGTCTGTGTCACTCCTAGCAAACTCCTTCCTGTTTGCATCAGTACAGATGGAGGTAAAGGATTTGGCTGCCCGTGGTATTCATGCCTGCTTCAGTGCTGTTGGTACTTGTGTGTGTGCCAATAAAAACACTTGTCTCTGTCCATGTTAGTCTGTGTGACCAGCTGTATATGAGTATGTACATATTGGCATCTTAGGAATACATGCTTAGTCTTGCTATCAGCTGGACATACAAATGGGAGCAACAAGAGATAATCCTTCGATCTTAGAGGCCTCTGGATTTTGCTTCCCTCTAAAGATACTGGAAAACTATTCAGTTTTTTCAACTGGATACCTCCTTCTCTTCTTATAGTCCCCCGACTCAATGCGGTGTGTCTTGCAGATTCAGAGAAACACATGCTTATGTAGTAGCACTGCTATAGAAATTACAAGATGGGACTGGGCTTTATGCATAGGATAAAACTAGATAATCCAAGAAACCTACTCTGGATTTTAAAAAATTCTTAATTTAATCATTATATGAGCAAAGTTATTAATGTGCTTTGAGTATCCTGTTTATTCTCCTATGTGTGTGAAAATAAGTTGGCAAAAATCTAACAATGAATTCTGGAATCAAAGTTAGACTACATATCTTATGAGCTAATGCATATAAATTTAGCTTTGGGATTGATAAACTCATAAATGGTTTAAATTTTTATCATAGTTTTACATAGGAGACACTGTTGATCTGACAGGAAAAGAAAGCACTTAAGAGAAAAATGTGATACATACAGAATAAGGCTGAAATTCAAGGCACATTTGTTGCATTTACTGCACTCCAAATCCATTCTGGACCTTTTTATGTGTGCATGCATACAGCAATAACAAAATCAGAGAAGTCAAAGAAAATGTTATGGTAGAAACCCAAAATAATGCACTTCCTGTGAACCAAGCTTCACTGAATATTGCTGAAACACTAAACTCAAGGTTTAACACACAAGGGACCGTTTCAATCAATTTTCCAGATTGCTATGACATTTCCAAACAAAATCCCAAGGTATATCCCAGCAGTAGCTGTACAATTTAGTTTTCTTCAGAAAATATTCTAATCACATTAATATATGCTGTGTGACAGATTGTGTCTGTTCCAGAGAAGAATTTTAAAAGTTATGTTCAGGTAGATTCCTTCTCATTCTGCCTCACATGCCGCTTTCTTTTAAGGGGAATATTTTAAATCCAAAACAAAGACAACAGGACATAACACTCTAATGTCATTTCTCAATATTACAATCCAGACTGCTGGGGGATGGGTAAATTAACTGTTCTATTAGTAAATGCTTTAAAATCTACCATTAATTCTCCACAAATTTCAGTTCACCATATATTGAATTGAATGCTAACCACAGACAAAATTCAATAATTATTGTCATGATAGATGCTTCTTTTTCTCTTCATAAATAATACCAATTACTGGACATATTAACCATTTTTAAAATGCATGTTTCATTCCCTACTAAACAAATTAAAAAAAAATAATCATATCAAGTTTTAATGGACATTCAGGAATCATACTGCTGGTCCACATGAACACAAATGAAAAACCATTCTAGAATTCTGGAAGTTTAGATACACTTGAACAGTAAAATTAAAAAAATATATTTATATTACATCTTCTTTTATTGAAGACAGTGTATACAAACACAGAACCTGCTATTTTTCTTAGCAGATGTAAACTAAACATATGCATTTGAATGCCTGCTCTTATGTAATAGCAGTATGAAGTTGCAACATAAGAACATGTGTTTAAAGAAGTTCCCCACAGCATTCTGGAGCTACAAGTTAAAATATACACTTTTTTGGCAGTCTGACATTAAACTACAAATTTTTATCAAAAATAAAAAAGGCTAAAGAGAACTTTTTTAAAAAAAACAAAAAAAACCCCAAAAACCCTTATCATTAGTTGATGACCAGTAGAAGATAATCCTTGAGATTCTGAAGTTGGAATTATATTAGACATTAAATAGAGCAGAAAATGAGATTTCCAGAACAAAGTTTTTCTCCCTCACTTTAAAAGAACCCATTTATGTGTACGGGATTAATTTTCCCAAATGGTATCTATCTGCAACTTAGTCAGCCTCCCCATGGACAATTCATCTGGGGACTATATAAAACCCCTGGACATTAGGTGATGGAGACAAATAGGTACCTTCAGAGGATGGTTTATTCAGTCTACTTTAGATACTTTTTCAGGGTGAGATGACTCATATACTGAAGATATATGCATTTGCCCATTAAATACAGAAGTGGCCTAATGGACTAGCTTACTCAGACATAGAGCTATATTGTCAGAAGTTTAAAGCTAAATTAAGTAAACCTGTGACTTATTGTCTTTCTTCCTCATGTAATACTACAGAAAGAACTTAAAGTATTAGTACGTTTTTGCCAACAAGAACAAAATATGAGCAGTTCATACAATATTTCCTACTCATAGCAAATCTTCACTTTTCAGTTGTTTCTAGATCTTCGAGCAGCATGAATCAAAATGCTCAAGTACAATGTAACATTTATAGTTATATAACCTATTTAATTTTCTAAAAAAAAACCAAAAAAAAACCAAAAACAAAAACCCAAAAACCCAATTCATACGTTACATTCCTCCATAATCGCATTTTTATGTTAAGAAAATTAGAAGTGTTATTAAAATGTCTTTCATGAATCCTGAATAACATGGCTTAATATGGGTTAATGTTACTGTAGAATTGACATAATTTTCAGTCACGTATTACTCCACAAAGCTAAACTCTTATCCGTCTCTGCTACTTCTCTTCAATGCCCAGATTACAAAGCTTGGACTGGTTCTCCAATAGCTTTTCAGATAGGATGCATACTAAATTACTCAAGGTTAACAGTTCTCTTACACTTTATATCAGTATTTCTTGCTTATCCATAAGAACAGTTATATTCTTCCCACATCCTTTCTCTTTTGCAAAACATCCACAGTATCTTATATTCTTGTAATTCTAAAAGCCATCTATCATATCTGATGTAACAAGGGCAAATGTAGCATCCGATGTAGGCTCAGTAATTTCAGAATACTTTTTCACTGTGGATACTTACAAGAAAATTATACTGACACAATGGCATCATTTGGTAGTAAGAAGAGCCTGCAGAATAGTTGGAGCAGTAATTCTGAGATACACTTTGCCACTTTAACACTTTAGGGCGTTTTAAATGGGACACACAGAGTGACCTAACATCTAGATGAGGAACTATCACACTATTTGAACGAAACAGAAAAAGAGGATCACAGATCAGCACAATTCTCTGTGAGGTAAGTCTTATTTTTACATTATTAATAACTCTTTTCTTAGAGGAATACATCATCAGTATACTTTGTCACATTTTTCATGCCCTCACAGAGAAAACTAATGAAAATCAGAATTGAGCTTGCCTTCCTTCTTTTCCCTTTCATTCCTTTTTCTGTATTCTTTCCAGTGTTACAGGTGCAATTCTCCTTTTTGTGTTCTTATCACCTCACTCTATTTATATTTAATTTCTCTTGTGACACTTATCTTTATTTCTCTCCTTCCCTTAACAAAAAATTCTTATGCTTCTCTAGCTCTTTCCACTTATAATACAAGAGTTCTATGCAGTCACCCCCATATTTAAAATAAAAGATGAACAAAAAAATCTAAAAGTTTGACCCATCTCTTCTCATCTAGTCCAAAAACCTTTCACCTAAAAGCATCTAGGACACACTATTTCAAAGAAATTTAACGACCTGGACATCCCAGCTTTCATTTGTGTCCTAAGCATCTTTTAACCTCTCCTGCTTGTCTTGTATTTCTTTGAAACAACTCTTACTAACATCCTTTCTCGGAGAAAAGTTCAAACCAGTATTATATGTTTATCCTGAAATCTGACTTTAACAAATAATCAGCCTTTTCTTAAAGATCTCCCGTCCCTCAGCTTCTGTGATCAGTCAGTATGTAATTCTTTCTTACCTCTCTAAATGTTCTCTTTTTGGTTTCCATTATTTATTATTTTTCCTTCTACATTTATTTCTATATTATATTATTTATTCAATCCATAAATCAATATTGAACTGCCTTTTATATGCTGCCATCAAGAAAATGCCTTGGTAAGCTGAAACAGTTTCTCTTCTTCAAAATAATAGGACTTTTCTTTCTGACATTTCCTTGTCAACAGCTAGTCATAAGGTAAAATTTAGCATAATGAGCAATCTTTTAAACAACTCCCCTCTCATTAACTTAATTCCTTTTTTAAGACGTAATAACATCTTCACTTAAGTTTTCACTTCAGATTCTTCTGTTGATACCAAGACTCAATATCAATGACTACTTCCAGCTAATCTCTCTCCAAGATAAGGCATTTTCTCATCAACATGAAAAAAGCATTCACCCTCTTTCACCTGTACTAATTAGTATGAACACATTCAACTGTTACTTAGACTATAAACTTTTAGAGACTTTCTGTTCTGTGGAAAGTATTAGGGAATAGTCCACTTCTGGAGTTCTAGGAATTACTGCAATAAGAATCAACAAACAAAAAAGCAACAGTTCATTGCTGCTAACCTAGATCTACATATGTAGAACAGAATATTGGACTTACATATTAAAAAAAAAAAAAAAGGTGGAAAAGGAGAAATGGATTTATTTACCTTTTCCATGGGTAACATCCACAGTCCATGTACAATTCAGTGAATTTGGATACAGATCAGGATAACCAGGAGATAAAATTGTTCCACTAGGTCCTCTAACATCTCCACCACATAAAGCTAGAAATAACAAAGAAATTAATAATAAAATAATTAATATAAAACTTACAGATGAGAGAAAATATACAAAAACCCCCTTTAAAAAAAAACCAAAAACAAACTTCTGGTTTTAATAAAGCTTAAACAATAGTTGGTCAAATGATAAAGTGATTCCACATACAACATACAATATGAAAAGACACATAATCAATGAATAATTGTCTTGTGTTTTAATAGGTACTAAAAAAATGAAAAGCGAGTTTCCCTAGTTGTTTTTTCACATTTTCTTGAGACTCTGTGAAAGTTATTATGTTCAGCAG